AAATCTGATTAACGTGCAATTTCTTTTTCTGATATATATATATATCTATATATATATATATATATGATAGATAGATATAGATACCCTCATATGAAACGTCACTTTTATTTTGTTAAAAGATTATTAGCCTTTTTAATATAGCAGAGAAACTATAATAAATAAATTGTAACTGCCTTTTAACAAAAACTTTTGCTCATAACAGAGCAGTTAACATCCCTGCATGTATGTAAGCTGAGTAAGTATGTAGACTAGTTTATATAACTAGAAAATACTGCTTCCTGCTGAAACTGCAATGGAAATTTTCTACATAAAGAGGACTGTTGATATCATTGGTTCATTTAATTTTATCACCAAATTTGGAAATTTTATGGTTTTGTACATGCAAATTTGATTATTTCCCAATGCTTACCTAAGCATAGATGTTATAATTATAGAATAAGTAAATATTTAGGAAATAAAAATAGGTGTCATTAACCTTTTGATGAAAATAGGTTGCCTTCGTTATTCCAGGGGGTATCGATGAATAGGCCGGTAGTAATGTTTTAAATACACTATCACCTTCAATACAAATCAGTAAAATGTTCAAATGTTAAATGTCAAATCAGTAAATGTTAAATGTTGTTAGCATGAGCATCGTTCGTAAATGTAAAATTTTATGATTCATAAGTATTAAATATTTAATGATAAGAATTATCAGGTCTGCCACCAGAGATTAGAAGAGGAACAATTTTGATAACCGCATCATAGTATTATAATAATAAAAAAAACATTTAGTAGGTAACTCATTAGGAAAAATGAATCAAATATTTAATTATTACAAGTTGAACTTGTTCCTTGGAAGTGTTTCATTTCTTAAACATTGACACTGATATGAACAAACTGTCTTATAGAATGTGTCTAATTTGTGAGTTGTTAATAACTTCTTACAAACTCAAGGGAGAGTGCATTTTATGTAATTAAACTTGTCAGCTTGAATAAAATTTTGCATTCATCTGAGTGTTTATTACTCTAAAGGGTTTTGTAGAAAAAATGAAAAAAAAGCAAAAAAACAATGAGCGTACTGTTACGAATGAGAGATTGTGTATGCTTTAAATATTTTACTCTAATTTACAGTTAAAATAATGAAATATGATAAGAGTTTGAAAGTTTTCATACTAACTATTTTGCCTTTTCTTTCTTTTTCTTCTAGGTGCATTTTCACGAGAAGGATATGAAGCATCTTCAGAAGCACATTCCAAAAGAAATTTTGCCATCTGAATTTGATGGTGACAATACCAACTACCAAGCAAGTGAATGGGTCAAAAAGGAAATGTATTCGTATTTAGAAAAATTTGGAGAACTGCATCGTAAAGGTTATCTTTGAGTTTTGAGAAATTCAGTCCTTTAAAGATGTATAATTTATGCCTGGTTAATTATCAGACGAACAGTATGAAGTCTAAGTTTTCGATCTTTAACTATGTGGAAAGACTAATGCAGATCTGAAATCACCAATTGTTATTACTCAATTTATATGTATTAGTCTAAATTGGATTCAAGCAGTCTAATTAGGCAAGAAATCCATCAGCCTTTATTTTAAACGTTTCATTTCATACGAAACAAAATGGGTAACCGTCTTCATTTAATTAAAAACAATCATATTAGTTACTTAACTGCTATAAAAAAATTGAAACACGTTTCTAATGCAGAGTGATGATGCACATTAGCATTGCTGAAAAATCTACAGTTAATTAAAATTATTCTTGTCAGCTATTTTTGTTTATCCTTCATGAATGAAATGCATATGAATGGGTTCCAGTGATATTCTTCTTTGCTTAAGCGCCCATTGACTATATCTCACGCAGTTTACGCGATATATGCATTGAACATCCAATGTCTACTGCAGCAACGGGAGTCAACACTTTGAGATAATCCTTTGCGTACACAGACTATACAGTCCTGTTTCTTTTGTTATCTAAATATGTAATATAATAGTAAAATATATGTAATATATATGTAATATAATAAAGAATTTGTGTGTTTGTCTTTGTGCCGGTATACGGGATGGTGGTTATAATGTAAGCTCTAAAAATATGACATTAAACATGAAGGTAGATGTAAACAATTTACGAAGCAAGCTCTATTTTTGATTTTATATTTATACTTTTAATTCAGAGACATTTAAAAAAATGGAATTTTTCTCATTGGCTTAACGAAAGTTATTGTTCTTTTTTAAAAAAAAAATCCCGATAAAACTGCCTTGTGTTTTGTCTTGTAACTTACATAAAAACTTTTTACCTTCTTGTGAAAACAGACACAGTTTGGTTGATAGAATATCAGAAATATTTCATTTGTTTACTCTAACTCCATGTAAATACTCCCTTATATGTTTCGAAACAACATTTTTTTAAAATTACGTGAAGATACCACGTGAATCTGTATACTTATGCAAATATAACTACTTAAGGCCTATGATTATTTTCATTGTTGTGGTAATTACACTGAAGTTTATGGTTTTGCTAAAGTGTACTTAAAAATGTTGAAAATGCTTACAACGAAAAATTGAGCTTCCCACCCCCCGAAATTTTCTTTAAATTTTCATTGTAATACATTTTTATTACTTTTAATTCTTAGAATATCATATTTTATTAATTTGATATTAAAAATAATTTGATTGCCAACGTGACACTATAACACTGCTACAACGGTCAGAATATCATGCTTAGTAATGATCAGATGATAATCTTCACTCATCATGAAAGTAAGTGTTGATCTATTACAATTTAGATATAGAAAAGTAAATTTTGATACATCAATCGTTCTCGATTAAACGCTTCTCAACTACCTATCAATTTATTTAAAATACGAAATTAAAATATAATTTTCAGTTCCAAAAATGCATCATTGTTCTCTAATTTACTTTTTGTAATTTAGATTCAATAATTCATTGTCTTTTTTTCCCTTGTTCTTTTCACCTTTCATTCACTGGCTGTATCACGAAGCATTTATAGTATTTATAGCAATTGCCTTGGTGGCGCTAATCCATAAGAATGCACGCACTTTGAAAATTAATACTTGAAAAATACTACTTGAAAAATACTACTAGAATACGCAAAAGTTACGTTTTTTTAACTGGATATACAGCTAAAGGAAAAGCCGATATGAATTCTTTAAAAAAATGCATCGGCTAAGGCAATTGCAACAATACACAGCAATAAAGAATTTTGCTTTAGTATAAAAATTATATAATAGTATTTTCCTAATTAATAAAAAAAATATTAAAAGGAAAATCCCTAAAAATAGTTTTAAAATTACGCATGAACCTGTCAACTAAATGTTCATATCGACAAAAGTCTAGGGGTGAGTTTAGTGACATAGAGCCAGTGAAGTGGTTTCCACATGTAAACAATCATTTGTCTGCCGAATATCTGAAAACTCCAGTTCATATTATCCCCACGACATCATAATTCTTAATTTTTTTATAATTTTTTATCAATATTTAAATAATTTTATCAACAAAAAAAAAACAACCACAGAAAAGATCAAAACTTTACAGAATAATATGATATTTTATGTGATTTAATATGATCACTTCAAGATTTTTTAAAAACTTAAAGAGCATTCACACTGGAACTGTTGTGACCGTATTGACAAAAATGAATCCAATACTCAAATTCAAAATTAATATTTATTGTGATTTTCCATTTTGAATCAAAGGTTGCATAACAAAATACAGTCGAAGCAGTGTCAAAAAGATTTTAGAATTCGAAATTAAAGTTCGTTTTAAACATTTTATTGCAATCAAAATTATTTAAATTTAAAAAAAGTTGAAGTACACATAAAGACACAATAATGGACATACTATAGTTTCAGTTTTATAAACAAGAAAACTGCAGCGAACGATTTTTTTTCAATTAGAAGTTCAAAGTTGGTTTAAGTTAAAATAAACAATTTTATGCAAATTGAAAAATCGTGAGATTTTAAATCGATAAAATTATACAAATTAAATAACAAAAAACGGACCGAAGAAGCTAAATGAAAATAAAAAAAATGCTTAAATTAAATGTCTGGAGCTTCACTCTTATGATAAATAACTCTTTGTCAAGAACGCTTTACTGATAACGATTTGACACGAATGACTCTTTAAAATGATTTTATACGCTGATTATAAATAGTTAAAAACTCGAATGCAAAGTTCAAGATTATAGTTTTTTTTATCAAAGGATATTTCATGATCTTTATTGTTAAATTTGATTTTTATTCTAGATTTTTATTATGTTATAATGATAATTTAACTTGATTACCTATCCTTTGAACTGTTCACTGTTTCATTTATTATTTGTCAGATATTTAAAACATAATTATTTATCTCTTTACAATAAAAAATTCTCAAGCCGTTTTGAGAGTTCAACTACTCGCCACATTTTTTTGTTGCACAAAAACTATAAGACTTAGGACGTATTTTCTTATCCGCCAACAACAGATTTACTTATCAACTTATTAAAAAACCCAAAACAAAAACACAACTAAACAAAGATTAAAATAAATACAATATAATACAGAAGAGCTTTGATATAAAAATCGGATATTCACGAACTAACAGATAACCTTAAATGGTTCTAAGATCTAAATATGCTAAATAGCTAATTAATTTTAAATACGCTAATTAATTTTTGTAAATGATAAGTTAATGAGATGAGAGAAAATATAATATTTCCCTTGAATAAACATAATTGTTTTCGTAGGATTCAAACTCTTAATGGTTCAAAGATCTACATATGTCGTGATCCGGATGCGAAATTCGTAACAACCAACTATCCCTGGGATTCGAACCCGGGTGACGTTATTGGGAAGGAGCACCCTAATTCCTGAGCCACAACGGCTCAGTTTTTTTAAAATTGTAAGATATAGTAATTTTAAACAACAAATGATACATCAAAATCAGCAGAATTATTTTTGAGCAACAGCAGAATCCGAGTAGATGATAATAGAGCATGAGTTGAAAATCGAAGACTAAATACAAAAGAAAGTAAAACTATGTACATAACGAATAAAAGGCAACAAATTCTATAGACAAATCCGATAAATAATATACAAAATAAAGAGCTTCATACCTGATAGGAGTGATACGTAACAAGTGAATGGAATAATTATATAAACAGAGGTGACGTATGGGATCTAACATGGGGACTCTTTCTCCCGCGGCTTCGAGGAAGGGTTGCTCTTCAGACGGAGATAATTAAATATGTAAAAAATAAGAAATAGCAGACGCAACTTTGAAGGGTACTTCTGTGACTGATTGATAAATTTATATCAGAATACCTAACCCAGAACGTTATTTTCTCCTTCATCAAATTTAATATTTATTAAGGGTAGGAAGGTAGGAGAAATTATGGTTAAAAGCTAGGCTTGATTTAAGTTCAGTGCTGTAATATTACAGTGGAAATATTTTTCTTAAATAAAATAGTGGAAGAAAAATTATTAAATTTTGTTAATTTTCTGAGATTAAACGAGATATTTTAATAAATACAGTGTGTTAAAAATTTGAATGGTATTATTTTAAAAGTAAAGTGAGACTTAAAAATTAAATATTCTATTAATTAGAAAATAGTCTCCCTTTCTTTGTTAGTTTAGTTGACTTCCACGTTTAAATTTTTTATAGAACGCTGAGGGCAATAAAAAGATAAATTTCAAAAAAATTTCCTGTTTTTATGTTTTTATTTCTTTAGAACATTTAAACCGATGATTTTTAATTTTGTGACTAAAAACAACGTAGTTTAAAAGGAGATGATATTGCCATACTTAACACTTTAAAATGTTTTCTTCCATTTTTAAAATTATCAAATCTTGAAGATACAATATGAGTTAAAAAAAATTCTTATCACGTATGTCTCTTATCAAATCAAGCGATCAAATTTTTGTTTGTTTTTACATAAGTCTGGCAGATTTCAAGGTTTTATTCATTGAATTAATATAGATATCTTTCAGTAAATGTTTCGTTTGTAAAATTCGCGAATACGTTCCTCGTTGTTATTATGTAGTTATTTTCCACTCAAGGACACAATTTTCTTCGTCCGCTTTAATTCAAATTTTTTACCCTTTCCAAAACAGCAAATTTCAATTAAATTTTAGTCAGGTAACACAATAGCAAGTGTTACCTTAGGCAGTACATTGTAAGTGAAGAGACATACTTGAGCTTCTTATTGTTTAAAAAAAGTGGATGCCAACTTGCTCCTCTTTGTAAACAAATAATTTTTAGTGATAAAGGAAGTTCATTTTAAGTTTAGTATTTTTCCTTTTAAGTAATTTTTCCACCACATCGAAAATTCTTTTGTCTTTATGTAAATAAACTTGGCACCTGGGCCGCGAAGCGGCCCCTTATCCCATTCATCATTAAATTACATACAGTAGGGTAAAATACATTGATTTGGTAACCATAAAAGAATCAAGCCTGTGAAGCTTGTGAAATAATAAATAATAGTTAAGCTTGTGAATAATAGTTAATCTTGTGAAATAATAAAACAATGAAAAAATTCATTATGACAAATTGACGTCTTTACATAACACTAGAAATATTGATTGTAGACCTAAATTTAAAAAAAAGATAAAACACGATTTGATATGTACAACAATTGATTTTTGAAAAATGAAAACCATAATTGATGAATATAGATAAATCATACCTTGATACATGATTAAATAACACATTTAGAGAAAATGCAGTAAATATATTTTATCAGAGAAATATTGCTCATTAAATACAGTAGAATTTGCAAAAGAATTCAACGTGCGTAAGTTGATAAATATGTATGCATAAATTGGCTATATTATCAGAAAATAAATCTTAATGTAATTTAATTTATTTTAAGTAAAAGTCTGCTATGAAAGGTTCAGTGAATTTAACTTGAGAGTCTTGAAAATAAAAATAGAACTCACTGGGATTGAGATGTATCCCCGATGATCCCCGCAGAAGGCAGAGCACTTCTTCATTTTTGAGCAATTCCTGTAATTCTTTGATTAATGACACTAATCCAGAGATGCC